TCTGGGTCTATGACTTGGAGGGAGGGATATGGTAAGAGTTCATGAGGTTCAGCTGACCTCCTGTTGACCTTCTACTGACCTCCTGTTGACCTTCTACTGACCTCCTGTTGACTTCCTGCTGACCTTCTACTGACCTCCAGCTGACCTCCTGTTGACTTCTTGCTGACTTCCTGCTGACCTGCTGACCTCCAGCTGACCTCCAGGTGACCTTTAATAATGTGGTGTTTTCGGACAGCAGTGACTGCAGTTCGTCTGCTGGTTGTGTTTTTTGAAGGCAGGTGTTTCACATGTCCGGCGAAGTTCCTCCCTCCATGTCTGGGACCTGTGGCTCCTCCCTCGGAGGAAACATGTACATATTTGGAGGATGTGATGACGGCGGACAGACCAATCAGGTTAGAGCTCCTCACCTTGCTCTTCTGTTGTATAATTAAGATTATATGATAATTTTTTTGTGAGCCAGTATTCATTCCCCTGAACTTAATAACCTTTTGCTCCAATCATAACTTTCAGTATTTTGTTGGGTTTGAATGTAACTGACACAATTTTATCATGGAAGAAATATTTTACATATTTTTCAGATTTATCACAACATTTTGTGTTAGCTTTGTGATGACAATAAAACAATTTATTACATCGTTTTTAGGTAACTATATGGTAGCATTTAAAACCCCACAAACAAGTTTTTGTTCCCATTTTAAATGATTTTCTTCAGCACATCACCTACGTAAAGAAGTGTGATTTTTATCACTAAGCTGCACACAGTAATTACATTTAATCATAATTTAAATTTGTCTGATGCTCTTAACAAACAGTGGAGAAAGTAGTACAAAGTTTACTGTCTGTTTTGTATTGTTTAAACATAACTAATTGTTATATATATTATATTATTGAGATGATAAATTAAACGTCTTATTTTAAAAATAAATTTTCACAATAAATGCAGTTTCTTCTTTGAACATATCTCATGTGTTGGTTTTTGTAAATTTCCTCTTTTTGTTCAGTCTCATTTTTTGTTAGTTTTCATATTTTTTCCTTTGTTGCTTTCGTTATTTTTACTTTAATATAGTTTAATATTATTATTCTGTCTTTCTGTGCATTCTTCCATGTTGCCTCTCATTTATCCCTTTAATGATACAATAGAAATATGTCCAGCTGTCACTGGGAGAAAAGCAGGATCCTCTGTGCAAATGTAAAATAATTTACATGTTTGATAAAGTCATAATCAGCCTCAATTAGCCTAATAAATGTAACTGAACTCTGTTAATGTGAACGTCTGACTGTGTTTTCCAGATGTTCTGTGTCGACCTGACAGACGGTCGATACGTGTGGAAGAAGATCATCCCGCTCTGTGGCTCTGCTCCCTCACATCGAGACAAACTGTCCTGCTGGGTTTATAACGGAAAGTGAGGAAGTCAAAACGACAAATTCCTTATTTTCATTGTGTATCAGAAGTTGATACCAGGCAGTTTTAGAAAAACAGTGACACCATCCCAGAATCGACAGGCTTGAGTTTGTAAAAATGTTAGTTTGGGAAACTATGGTTTAAAAAATCTTTTAAACAAGCTAAACATGAGTTTAGACAAAGACAAACTCTTTGTCTCTAAAAACAACATGGCTGCACAGATTACCTCTGCATGCACAGCATTTCTGACATTCTGCCTGTTCGACAAAAGACAAAGGGGCTGGAAGCATGGCCCAAGAAAACAACAAAAAAGATGCAGCTTATTAGAACTGTACTGTTAATAAAGGTATAATTTAAAGACATTTATT